AGCTCAGCAGGGAGCTGGTGTGAAACTGAGTTAGTTTTGCTTTCTCACTTCATGGGTTGAGAGGGACAGAAGTGAAAGTCCGAGGGATATCTAAGGTGAGAGGTCTGAAAAGGCCAACTCTCCGACCCAACACACACACTCAGGGTAAGGTAAGACCAGGTGTACACCTGTGTTCTTTTGGCACAAGGGGAAAGAGTCCCGCAAGATAGTAAACCAAATCCAGCCTCCCAGAGTAATAGTAGACTAAATTTGTATCTCAGAGGTGGCATGAGGAAACTCAAGCAGGGGATTAGTTGAAAGTGGTTCTGGTTTTGATAGTGTCCCAGACATCTGGCAAAAAGGAATGTCCCATTGGAAAGGTAGGAGAGATCCAGTTTCTCTGCATTCTTGCCAGTATTTGCTATTATCAATACTTTTCATTTTAGTCATTCTAATAGATGTTTATTATTTGTTATCATTGTGTACATGTATTATTGTAATTTTTGTATGTTAGTCTTGTATTCTGAGACCTCGCTGAACTCATTTATTAGTTCTAGGGTTTTTAAAAAAATTGTTCTAGATTTTTTGAGGGGTGTTTTGGGTTTTTTTTGGTAGACAATCATGTCATCTGGAATAGGGACAGTTTTATTTGTTCCTTCCCAATCTGTACGCCTTTAATTTCCTGTCCTTGCCTTATTGCACTGGTTATGCCTTCCAGTATATTGAATGAGAGTGGTGAGAGCAGAAACCTTTGCCTCATTCCCAGAATTAGGAAGAAAGCATTCAGCCTTTCACCACTAAGCCACTAAGTGTAGTGTACCATAGGTTTTTAGATGCTCTTTATTGGATTGGAGAAGTTCCCTTCTATTCCAAGTTTGTTGAGCGTTTTTATCATGAATGGGTGTTGGATTTTGACAAATGTTTTTCTACATCAGTTGATATGATCATGTGCCTTTTCTTCTTTAGCCTGTCAATATGTTGGATTACATAGTTTGATTTTTAAAATATTGAACCAACCTTGCATTTTTGGAATTAACCTGACTTGGTTGTGATGTGAAATTGTTTTTATATAGCACTGGATTCAATCTGCTAGTATTCTGTTGAATATTTTACAACTGTGTTTATGAGGAATATCAGTTTCTACTCTTTGTCTGATTTTGATGTTGTGGTAATACTGGCCTCATAATATAAGGTAGAAAGTGCTCCTTCTTCTACTTTCTGGAGATTGTGTATAATTGGTGTTAGTATTTCTTCAAATATGGGTAGAATTCTCTAGTGGGACTATGGAGTTTCCAAGCTTTGGATCCCTTGGACTTCCACTTAGAATTTCATGGAGATTGAATTATATTTGCCAGTACCTCAGTGTGGGACATCAAGCCCCAAGACTGCATGGGTCAGAGCCTCACCCACACTTACAGCTGGTCTGAGACTTCAGTGGAGTGTTAGAGTGACAAGTGTCATGGTGATGGTTGTGGTGGCTTCTTTTCCTAAATACTGAAATCTGTTGTTGTCCATCATCAACTCCATGGTGATTATGTTTTTACTGGTGGGTTTTGTGGCTGTGGTTTTCATGTGTGTGCTTTGACCTGGTTCCGTACAACCTGGATGAGATGATGACCCCTGAAGGTTCTGTTTTAAGCAGGCTCTGCTGACACTATACTGGTGGGGCAAAGTGGACGTTGCCTCATTATCCCAATGCAGAGATGGAAAGTTTATGCTCCCTACTTGGTCTCTGATGACATTGTGGGGAGGGGGAGGAACAACCCCATTACTCCATTACTACCAGGTGAGGGGAGGGTCTAGACTTAGATCACACTCCATCTCTACTGATTCTGAGGTGGGGTGTGTTTTTTTTTCCCATAGTGTTTTTCTGGAGTAGGGTGGACATTGTCAAAAAAGTTTGTCCTGATGGGCTGCTCCTTTCCTGGTCCTTTGGCTAGAGAGAGCAGTCTTGATGGGGGCTTTTTTTTTTTCATCTGTGCATATTAGCTTTTCTGGTCACAGGCTTCTTCTGTGCTAGTCCAGGATATATAGAAAGCAAAAAGAAAACCCGGGTCCCTCATTGCTGTGTCATTCCTTGAGTCTCAAAGTCCTTAGATAGTACTTCTTCTCTCCACCTTTCAGAGTCTTCTCATAAGGTTATGCATTATGTCCGGCTGGACTTAGTGGGAGGATCAGAGAAAACCGTGTCTATGTCATCTTGTCTGTAATCATCAGTGACCTCTTCTAATACCTGTATATTTTTAGCTTATTTTTAAATAAAATTTTTATTTTAGCATAGTTTTAAGTTTACAGAAAAGTTTCAAAGATAGTGAATTCCCAGATACCCCATACTTAGTCTCTCCTATTACTAACATTTTACGGTACACTTGCCATTAATGAACCAATATTAATATATTATTAAGTAAATGTCATACTTTGTCTAGATTTCCTTAGTTTTTACCCAATGCCCTTTTCTAAGATGCCATCTAGAACACAACATTATACTTTGTGGTCATGTTTCTCAGGCATCTTCTTAGATGTGTCAGTTTCTCAGACCTTCCTTGTCTTTGATGACCTTGATAGGTTTGAGGCATCAGGCATTTTGTAGAATGCCCCTCAGTTGGGATTTGTCTGATGTTTTTGTTATGATTAAACTGGGGTTATGGGTTTTGAGGATAAAGACCACAGAGGCAAAGTGCCACGGTCATCACATCCTATACGGGTACCTACTATTGACATGTCTAATCACCGTTGACGCTGACCTTCACCTGGCCGAGGCAGTGTTTGTCAGGCTTCTCCACTGTGAAGTTCCTCCCCTGCCTCCGTTCCATACTGTACTCTTTGGAAGGAAGTCACCACATGCAGCCAATATCGTATCTTTTTTTTACACGTACATCGGATCTTATTTTTCTCTTACAAATTCTGACTTCCTGGAGATACTAATTTTTACTGGGTCCATATTTTTCCAGATATTTCGTTTTAATGTTCATTACACCAGTATTAAGCATTTATGCAGCAAAGAAAAGATGAATAAAAGGCACGATTTGAGAGACTTGCTCTCTTGTGCACTCAAAACTAATGTCCTAATGAGGCCTTTAAATACTATAATAGCTATTTTTAGGAAAACCTAAAATCATAGGCAGCTATATAAGACCAATGGAATTATTCTGAATGCTTCTGTTTATTTCAAGGAAATTTATCAAAGGAAATAGAATCATTTCAGTTTTCTTTGGAAAGCTTATTTTAAGAAGAGGCTTAGATCTTACACATCATTTCCTCACGACTCTCTTGAATTCCAAAAAGGGAAGCTCAATTGTTAACGTTATATCTGTTCTTTTGTCAGAGACAGAGCTATTTTCAGACTAGATAGAATAGTTTGTGCTTTGTGAAGACTTCACAGTACATTGAGGCCTGAAAATAGTCATCCTGAGTGCACATATGGCCGTGTAATAGGACTTGAAACATAATGTTACCCTTTTCTAATACTAAAGACCATCCAGAGTTTTCTGGTTTTGCTTGTATGACCTACTTATTAGAACCTTAACTTGTTTGATGCTGAGTTTCTGGATATGAGTAGTTCTTAAGAGAAAATATGACTCTCTTACAAAATGGTTCCAGGAATACTCGGTAGAGGAAAAGGACAAGTGCTTAAAATAAGGATATTGTTAAAATGCTATCTGTGTTAAGGAACCTTTGTGTGATCCCTGACGTCATAGTAAACAGAATAAAGGTTGTGATGATATTACATTATTCTCCCTTCATTACATTCCTTACCTGGTATCGAATTCCACTTGGATCCAAGATTTAAACATAATCAAATGAAGCCAAAAGAGCAGTATTAAAAAGGGTTAACATTTTAACAGTTCTGGAATGGGAAATGTATAATCATTAGAGAAAATTCCAAAGCCATAAAATAAAAATGCAATAATCTGTGTTTGGTTTAAACACAAATGCAAACTCAAAAGACAAATGCCAATTCAGAAGGATGTCTGCAACACATCTGACACCCCAAGGGCTAACATCTTCAATGAGTACAGATGTTTTGCAAAGGAAGAAAGGGAAAGACGAACAGAAAATAAAACAAGAGGCAATAAACATGGGAAAAGATGCCCAGCCTTACTCACAGTCAAATATGAATCATATCTCACCCACTAGACTATAAACAGTGAAAATTCCGGAGGTGAGATGTTCAAGGCCACCAGGCCTGGCACCGTCCTTCGACTCACAGTGCCACAGTACCATCTTTTGCACGTGGCCCTCCTCCACGTGCTCACAGGATGGCTGCCACACCTTCAGGCAACATGTCCAGGATCCGGGCAGAAAGAAGGGGGGCAGGTAGGGGAAAGGCAAAAGGTTCCTGCTCCAGAGTCTGCACTTTGTCGCAAGTTTTCTCAGAAGCCCAATTCTGCTTACATCTCTTTTGCTAGAACTGGCCCTGGGGCTGCCTGGGAGGACGGGGAAGTGATTTTTAAGAAAACTATGAAAAAAGTATACCACTTCGGGATTTTCACAAAGTGAACCCACCCGTCTGACCAGCATTCAGATCAGGAAAGAGGGTGGGAAGAGCCTCCTTGTAACTGCCAACGAGCTCCCTCCCAGTCACTAGCGAAGGGGAGCATTTTTAATGGATACCTTTCTCACTGTGACCAAAATTGGGTTAAGAAAGAAAAAGTGAATAAGACACTTATCATCAAATCTCCCAAAAGCTTTCATTCTCAGTCCAAGAGATTGTCTTTTGAGAGACAATGGTTGAAATTTACAGTTTCTGTAATTTCATATTGTGAACCCGGGACCAAGAACAACAGTCTGGGCCGAGCGGGAACTTTCTGCATCAGCGCACTCGTAGCTGGATGCGTTGAGAATGTCCCTGCGGGATACTAACCGGGTCCGAGTTTAGAGACGTCTGTGAATGTAAGGACATCCTAGAGAACCATCGGGGACCTTATCCCATGGATACGATGAATTAGGGAACAGTGTACAAGTCTGTAGGCATCTTTTTAGAAGTGAGAAAACCCACAAATAAACTGTGTGGCCAAATCTTAGAACTGAATTCAGAATTTATTCAATATTACAGTACTCATAGAGAGAACATCTTTGTTATGAATACAGGCAACTTTTCTAGGGCTCCCATCCTACCAAACATGGTAACCTTCATCCTGGAGACAGTCCTGGTTTGTGGGAGGCATCCGTCAGCATTCTGACACCACATGGCATCAGTCAATTCACATGCAGTGGGAATTCTACAAATGCAATAAATGTGAGGGCTTTCAGGAAAGTAAAGCTCATTCAGCGTCAGAGAATTCACACTGGAGAAAAACCATATGCACGTAATGGATGTGCAAATGATTTTAGACAGTGCTCAGTGTGCTAATTAGACATCTGGGATTTCAAAGCAGATAGGAGCCCTGGGAGCGTAATGGATGAGGAAGAACCTTCAATCAGAGTTCCAGCCTCAGACAATGTCAGCTAATTCATTCGGGACTTAACGCGGGCATTCGTGGTGAATGCGGGTAGCTGTCTAGGGGAAGCGTGGGGCGTACTGAACGTCAGATCATTCATGCTGGAGGGGAGCCTGTGAATACAACCAATGTGGAAAATCACTTGGGGACAGCGGGGCTCCTTCTCATCTTGGGTGAATGCACAGGAAAGAAACACTCTCGTTGTAAAGATTGCGGGAGAGCTTTTAGCCAGTAATCAGGCTAATTCATTCTGGAGAAAAACTTTGATTATGGAGAATGAGGAAACGCCTGCAGTTCTTTTCCTTATTGGATCGCAGAGAATCCTTACTGATACACGGGGCGTTTTGGGGAGGAGATTCAGGGTTTATTAATCGCACTGAGTAGGGGCTCAGACGTTTTGCTCCTTCCAGTTGAACCAAAGCTCATTTCTTTGTTTATCTGTAGAATTTTTTTTGTCTCTCGTGACTTATCTTCCCCACGTTAGCCTTGCTTTTCTAAGCTTAACTTCTCATTCTACTCGGTATCTGGTACATTTCTGCTGAATGAATGAAGTAATACAGCAGGCTAACAGCAGAGTCGGCCTGGTTCTGGCCTTCGGGGGCAGGACTCCCTAAAACGAGGAGGGCAAATAAAGACTGCACTGAGGCAGGGGAGGCTTACTGGCAGGATCTGGAGGTTGCAAATTCTAATATGACTGCAACTCATCCATGTTCGGGCCCCATTAACTTGAGGAACTTCTGTGGGCTGCTTCTCTTTACTGCTGAAGACTATTTTGAGATGGGAAATGGGCTGGTGATTTTTCTCAAGTTCTGCATGTAATGGGATAATTTGTATTTGTAGGATACATCAGGAGGATGCCAGTTTCTGTCTGTTTTATATCTAAAACTAGAAATTTAAAGAGGAAGGGCTAGAGTTTTTGAGTTCAACTTCTCATGTCACAAGGGAAGGATCAGGCACGTTTTCTTGAGTTGAAGCAACACAAAAAACACACTGCTTGATGAAAGCTGGATGAGAAGAAAGCTTAATCTAGTCCTTATCAACCAACTGAGTTCTCTCCTCCCAACCAAACTCCTTATCCTAGCCTAGATTTCCAAGTCTCCTAAAAGACATCCTTGCCGGCCACTACCTTCGTCCTCCAACTGAGGGAGAAGAGAATCAGGTCTTGTGCATTTCTGGCTCCTGGCTGTGCTTAGAGAAGACAGGAAGAAATGGTAGCGAAAAAGGGATTGGTAGAAAAGACATGAACAATGAAGAAAGTGGGGACTGGCCACAATTCAGGGCACCTTATTCCTAAGAGGATACAAAATGTTGCTAAGGCTGGCTGGAGAGTAATTAAAAGGCCTAGTTTTCTACCAGTTTAGTTCTAGCTGCCTTAAACTCCTTCCAGTTAGTACTTGGGGCTCATCAAATCCTGCTGTGGACACTGGCCTCCTTCTCCAGAATTCACCCGACCCAGTCGCCACTTGCCCCTGCCAATGTGCTGCTCTTCCACGGCTTTGCTACCTGTGCTCAGGCTCTGCATCCCAGGGATCAGCACTGCCCACCCCCCTACCCCACTAATTTGTTTTAAAATTCATCACTGTGCCCCATTTTTGAAGACTCACGCTCATACGTCTGGAACTTTCCTGAATCTTTCTTCCCTCACTGGTGCCCCAGAGGCCTCAGGAGTTGGAACTAGGAGCTGGAGCTCTTGCCTGTGTAGGCTGTGACAAGTCTTGACTTTTATTTCCTACCATGTAAGTAAGATTTCCAGTGTCTGCACTTGGGCTGGTTCTCCATTTGGAGGTATACCAAGAGCCACGAGGCTGGAAGGAGTTGATGATGGAGAGGTTCAGAGGAGTGCTGTCCTGGTTAAGAAGGCCTCAGGCTGCAAATAGCAGAAATCTGCTTAGAAAATAAAGGGATTTAATTTATAGATCAGAGAGACTGGAAGTAGGTGGTTCCAGGATAGGTATAGTGGCTCAACAGTATCATCAAAGACCCAGGCTTTTTTGTCTGTCTGGTCGGCCAACCTTGGTATGTTGGCTTTTTCCCTTGGTCTTGTTGCCTCTTGGTCTTAAAATGGCTGCTACAGCTCCAAGTATCATATCTCAGACATCCATGTCCAAAGTGGGAAGAAGGGACAGGCCTCTTTCCTCTCTCTCTTTTAATCAGAAAACAAAATTTTTCCCAGAAGGTCCTCCAGCCATTTCCCTCTAAGTTTTGTCGGCAGAACTAAGTCACGTGCCCTCTTCTAAGCCAACAGACAGCAAAGGGAGTAAGTACCAGGCTGGCTGCAGTGACTCCCAGGGGCAAGGCGGGCCTGGGGAGCTCCCGGCATCAGGTGGCTCCAGGCCTGGCTTCTCTCTCTGCCTTTCATGGAGTCCCAGCTTTGCTCTGGTCATTCCCTCCTTTATCTTTTTGCAAAAGAGGCTCACTGTTCCCCCAACTGTAAGTGCATTTTCTCCATGCCATCGCTTGTTTTGTTTTTCTTCAATTTCCCAGTTTATCCTTCACCATCATTCTGTTCAGCACAGTGGTTCATCCAGGCCCTACTTGCCCTTGTGACAGCTTGTCACAGGCTGTCCATCCTGTCTGATTTGGGGGTTCAGATTTCCTAAAAGGGGAATCTGACTGGTCTGACTGGCTTTCTTTATGTCTGAGCCAAGTGACTTCAAAAGGTGTGGGCCACCCTATATGGATCCTGGTCCCATGACCTGCATGTGGGGCGGGGGATGGAGACAGGGTCACATGATACAACACAGCCACCTGGCAGTGGGGGCTGAATGAGGCTGTTCCCCGCAGAAGGGGAGGTGGGGGCTGGGACAGGTACAGCGCAGTGGAGAAGAGCTTAGACAGTGGGCTCCTGGAGCCCAGGGCAACACCGTAAGATCAGGCTCCTCTCCTGAGAGATGCCATGTGGGTGAACACAGAGGCACCAGAGACAGGAGTGAAAGAGCCATTCTGGCCATTTCAGCCCCATCTCAGTGGATGCCCCTGGGAGACAGGGAGAGGAGTCCGGCTGGCAGACAGAACTGAGGCTCAGCCAAATCCAGCTGTTCAGGTCACTCTGTTTGCGGTCCAGACAGGGTGGAGCAGAAATAAGATGTTCCTGCTTTGTTCTGCCTGACACTCGACTTAAGGAACGCAGGGCATAATCACAGATTGAGCCTGCCAGGACTCAGACTCTCCCCCCAAATTCCCACGGCAGAAATTCCAGTGACTGCCAGTAGAAAGCTGGGCATTTCTCATGAACGTGGCTTTAATAGGGGTGGGGAGCGCTCGGTACGTACAGGACTTGTTTTCTTAGAAACCATTTTGCCGCTTTGACAGGCCACAGAAGAGACTGTAGAAGCAGGAAGGACTATTGCAAGATGACCGTGTAACAGGGACAGAAAATGGACTAGCCATTCCAGCAAATGGAATTAAAAATCCTGCAACGGGAAAACTAGAACTTTCCAAAGCACAGGGCATGGGGCAGACCTTAACTTGAACCCTTGCGCCTCTACTTCTTAGAGGCATGACCTTGGGCAAGTTACTTAACCTCTCTGCCTTTCAGTTTCTTCATTGGTAACCTGAGGATAGAAACATCCCATTTCAAGGCTTGTGGGAGGATGAAATGAGACACTGCATGCGAAGCACTAAGCGCACGTTTGCTACAGCTACTGTCCGGGTCTCTCACACGCTTGGTGACGGGGGCCCAAGCCCCCGGGAGGGGGACAAGCTCGCTGGTGCTCATCACAAGAGCTGGCGTGGCTGTTCTGAGGGGGAGGGCCACTGGTGTCCTCCGTAGGAGGAGTGGGGCTGGGGGGTGACTTTACATACCATAAAGCACTTTACAGCTTTCCTTTCAGACCTAGTTTCTTAAGCAATTTCCTAGAAGCCTCTGGAACAGCTTCTTTGGACAGGCCTTTGCCAGCTCCCTAGGAGTGCTGAGCTCGGAGTCCCCTGCCCCCCAGTCCCTTGTTCTCCCAGGAGCCTTCCCCTGGTTGGCCATTTCAGCTCCTCTACCCGTTTCTTTTATTTCTTATTCTGTTTGGTCTTGGGACAGTCCTTAGAGAAGGTACTCCTGAGACCCAGTGTTAACGACATTCCAGCCATCAAATTCCCAGAGAGCAGCCCAAAAACCCAGCGAACAGCTGTCCTCCCGCCCAGAGACGGCAGTGTGAGCCCGCAAGACCCTAGTGAACAGACAGAGAGGCAGCTGGAAGGGCCTTCCCTTTCTCTCCTCAACCCTAAACGACCTGCCCACGTCTTCACCACGTTAACCCATTTAGATGCAGCCTTGGGTTCCCAGGAAAGGCAGCTCTTTAGGGCAGTGCCAACCCTAGGGACCAGCCCTTTGTCTCCCCACCAAGAACATTTCTAACTTACTAGCTTTCAAAGACATTTAGAAGAGAGCGCCAAGGCTATAAATTCCTGCACAAATAGATACAGAGAATTTGTCCCCCTTTTTGCAGGAGAGCCAGATTTTGTAGCCAACAAAACACAAGGGACATTTCTGCTTTTTGTGCTTGACCCAGAGCTTCGCCATGGACCAAAAGGATGATGCAATCACGGGGGTGGCCCAGGGGCACGTTCCAGGACAGTCCTTAACATCTGTTTTCCTGGTTGCCTCCAAATGCTCCTTGGTTGCTGGTCTCCTCAGGAGCAATCACCTACACCGTGCCAAATGAACACCTACTATGTGCCACATGTCAAGTGAGGCACTGGGAGTGCAGGATGCTTCAGACATAGGCCTTGCCCTCAAAGAGCTCCAAGTTCACGTTGAGGGTGGACCCTGAGCCAGCCAGCCTTAACCAGGACACTGGCCAGCTCTCCAACATGCTGATTCTTGCCTTTCCCTGCCTGCCCCCTCAAGGTCACCCCCAAGGTTCACACAAGTTGTGGCAGCCAACAGTGCCTCTCAGGCAGCGCCCAGGCAATGGGGACCAAGCGTCTGGCTTCCTGGTGGTGGTGGGGGGATGTTGGGGGAGGGGTGGCAATTAGGACTGTCACCTTCTTCCTGTGTGGCCTGGAAGAGGACAGCCAACAACCATCCCAGGGAAGGCAGGCTGCGTCTTCAAAGGTAAACACATCACCAACTGCAACTGCCCTGAACCACAAATCCATCTGCACTAACAGCGGTGTCTCCATGGCCGCACGCCATCCACAAGTCGTCCCGAGCTTGGCGTTCAGAGGCGCTGTGGAGAAAACAAACGACAAGATGTGGTTCTTCCTCAGACCTTTAAGTCTGTCTAAGAAGGAAAAGGCATAAGGAGGTCAGGAAGGACCAGAGCATTACAGGGGTCTAAAATGGGTCTTCGGGGCAGTGGACCTGGTGAGCAGAGCACTGGGTGGGAGCCCCAGTGCAGGCCTGCAGGGCCCCAGAAAGGCTTCATGGAAGAGGTGGCTTTGGGCCGGGCCGCATTTGGAGGGATGCTGCGTTCCTGGGGGGGCTGCATGTGAGCCATGACCACAGGTGCTCAGACATGGTTCCCTCATCACCCGCCTTGGAATAAAGGGTTCAGCCAGGGCTACTTCCTCTTCTTGCTGCTGGAGTCACAACAGCCAGAGGCTAGAGGGTTTGTCAGGCACAGAGCTTTGTGGGCTGGTGACACTCGTCTCCTGTGATGTTGTCACAGTGTGAGGCCAGGGCCAGGGACATGCTGTCAAACCAACGCTCAGTCTTTCTGCCAAAGCAGAACCCCCGCGGAGGCTGTCCTGGGAGGACCGCTGCTCCTCAGCGGCCAGGCTTTGGGGATTTGATGCTGACGATCTCACTTTGGGGAACCACAGACTCTTTAGCCCAAACCTCGCCCCACTGGCATGATACACGTGGCCGAACATTTGGACCGGACTCTGATGGAACATCAAAGAGTTCAACAGCAGAGGACATCTCTGAACATTCTGAATAGGGAAAATTTCCATTCATCTCCTAATTCGTACTGGAGATTCTCTATGAATGGTGCCAACGTAGGAAAATCCTCAGAGCGAGGCGAGCAGCTAACAGAAGTGAGAACTTGCAGAGTGTAAGTGAAGCAGGTAGAGTGCAAATCAGAAGCTCAGCCTTGAGAATATCACACCGAGAAAATGTACGTCCTCCCAAGGGTACAGGCGCTCCGAGAAAACAGCCCTCACCCAACAGCGGGTGAGCCATCCTGGAGCTAAATCCTTTCCGTGTAATGACTTGGGGGTGGTGGTCATTTCAGAAGACACAGGCCTCATTCATGACCCGGGTGTTCTGACTGGAGAGAGGGTGGGTGCCTGTCATGAATAAGGGGACTCTTGGCAGGGGGCTCCGACCTCAGGAAACATGGGGAGGACCACGGGGGCCTGAGGAGGACTGTCAGAGGGGCCTCAGAGCACATATCGAGTAAGAGAAAAACATGATGAAAGGGCAAGTTTAGAAAACGATTTTGTTGGAACTTGCACTTTTGGCACCAGTTACAGAATGAGACACCCTGTGGGGGGCCACAGCTGCACACATACGATCCCTGGGGTCCGCTTGCTGGGGGACCTAGTACCATGCAGAGGAGAAGCCTGGGTCCGGGGCTCTGGCAATTTCCTTTTCCGAGGGGCTGAGATGTTTCTTCATGCTCCTTCCTGCCCTTCAGTAAAGTCCTGGCCTTATGTCTTCCACTGCCCACCTGTGACTGGTGCTGCCCAGTGGGCAGGAGGCCACCTGGCCATCAGGAGGCTGGTGATCACTATTACGTATGACCACTGGCGGACACGCCCCAAGGGATGCTGCTGTAACTAGTCCATTCGTTCATTCATTCAACAAATATCTTTTGAGCATCTACTCTACTCTGTACCTGTCATGTTATCAGTGCTGGGATAAAGGACAGGGGACAAAGAGTTGTAACCCCAAGTGGCTCAGGCAACCCTGGGGATGAGAGAGAGCAATCAGGAAAGCAGCAGCACTTTGAGACTGCAGGAGTGTCTGTGTCCTGAGATTTTGCAGGCGGAGCCTCAGAGAGCGCTGGGGACGGAGGGAGGAACTCTGATCTAACGACTGCGGCCCCCGGGATGGGCTAGTGTGTGCTTTCTCCGAGCTCCCTGCGGGCGTAGTACCCCTGGTCTCCACTTTGTAAATAAATTCTGTACACAGCTGGCAAGTGGCACAGCCAGTCTGGCTCTGTTTCACTCCTGATCCCACTGTCTTCCCGCCACAAGGAGAAAACGGGTCCTTTAGCACCACTGTTCCTTGGACGATATTTCCAGAGGCTTTGGGGACAATGAGAGGTGCCTGGTGAAGCAGGAATGGAAGGGGGATGGAAGGAGAGAAGGGGACTGGCTCTTGTAAATTTCACTTTGGGGAATGGGGAAGGGCACACTCATTCATTCACTTGTTCAACGTCTGTTCATCCATTTAGCAAATCTTTACTGAGCTCTGTGGAGGGCCAGACTTTGTCCTTCGTGCTGGGGCTGCACGTGCAGAAGACAGATACGGTCTTGCCCTCATGGAACTTCTCTTCTAGAAGGAGGCCTGTGATCAGATATACTGTGCGTTTTGAAAGGGGAGGTACTGGGCCCCATGGAAGCACAGAGGAAAATCTTTACCTAGACTCGCAGGGCTGAGGGGGGCTCCTGGGAAGGAGTGATATGTCAGGTAAGACCTGGAAGAATGACCATCAGCCTGGTGTGTGCTGGGAAGAAGCGCACTGCGAGGTCTGTGGGCGGCAAGCAAAGTGGAAGGAGCCAGAAGAGGGCCAGTGCCGTGTATGTGAGGAGGACAGGGTGTGTGACATGGAGCGGGGCAAGGAGGGACTAGGTCATCCGGGGCCTCAGAAGGAGCTCAGACCAGCCCGAAGAACAATGGGAAGCCGTGAAGAGTGTTCATCTCAGGGAGGCATTGAGCTGTCTGTAGTTTATCCCCCTCCCCAAGCCCAAGGCCCAGCCGCGAGGAGACAGCTGTCCAAGGTCTCATCAAACTAGAGTAGACGTGGTGGAAGTGAGTATGTGCGTTCTGTCCTTTTCCCTCAGGAACCAAGGAGGTTTCCAAGAGGTGCAGTGAGCAGAGTGAGCAATAAAGCTAGGACTGAGTGCGCGTGGCTCCACAGGAGCCGCCTCAACCAAGGAGAAAACCTCTGGTGCTTGAAGGACTGACCTGAGGGTGCCCCAGACAGGCGGCTTTGGGACAGACGTGTGTGAGCAAGTATCCCCCTCTGGTGGCTGAAAGAGGTATTGCTCCCGTGTCCCACACAGGCCTGGGACGGGCTCTGGGTTCTCACTGGGTAAGCCTGGTGAAATGAAGTCCGGGCTGCAAGTAGCTGTCAACCCCAGGAGGTGCCCCGCCTCTCTCTCTCTCTCTTTTTTTTTTTTTTAGAGAAACCTGAATTATTGAGAAGATTGTGTGTGTGTGTGTATATATATATATATGTGAGAATATATATACACACACACACACACAGATAAGAAGCGAAATGCTAGAAATGCATTACCAGTGATTCTGGAATTGATTCTGGTAGATGACTACATTTTTTTCATTTTGTTTATACATATTTCAAAACTTGGACATATATTATTTTGTTGGTAAGACAAAACAATGTATCGTTTTTTAACAAAGAGCAGAGGTGACAGAAAAGTGCCCCAAAAGGGGACGAAAGTGGAGGCCAGGGGACTAATGTGAGAGCTAAGTGGCTTGGTGAGGAGCTCCCTGTGCCCGTCCACAGCCACGGGGCACACGTGCAGCTGGTCACAAAGCCACACAGAGAAGGCCTGTGCTGGGAACTGGGCTTCCGGAAGGCTGCCCTCCCAGCTGTGCCCCTCAGCTTACACACACCCCGACCTGGTGGTCCCTGCCCCTCTGCCTTTCTCTCATGTGCTCACTTTTCTCCCATGAAAGTAGAACCCTCCTGACCTGGTCACACAGTCAGCCTGACTGCCGGGTTCTGAGCGATCTGGAAGTGTATTCCACATGCTCGCATGTGGGGCTTCTCTCCTGTGCGGGTTCTGATGCGGAGGGGTGGGTCTGCTCAGAAACTAAAGCCATGTGTGTTACATCCGTGGGGTCTCTGTCTGGACAACTTTTCCGACAGGGGACAAGTTCTGGTCACTCTCATCACCTCCGTGGCTTCTCTCTTCTCTCTTCTGCTCAGAACTCTTCCCTGGGGCAGGGCTGCTGCTCGGCCTCCCCTCTGGGACGTTCCCTGACGCTGGTCTAAGGTCCTGGAACATTTTGAAGTGTCCCCCAGCTCTGGTGCCTGCAAACCTGCCCTGGGTTCTGCGTGAGTCACCCGTGGGGGTCTCTTTTCTGCCATGTTCCTGGTCTGAGCTGCATTCCTGGTCCTCACTCCTGGTCATATGTAGAAAATTCAAATATTCCCTGTTTGCTGTGCAAAAAAAAAAAGGCTAGTGAAATAAAGCCCCTGCCTGCCACAGGGGACTGGTTACATGAATTACAGCATGTGACACAGCAATGAAAAATGAGGTTGCAGAAGAATATTTAAAGAGCATACATTTCTTTTAAAAAGCAGGTTATAAGGTACTATATGTATATGGTGAGATTATGAATTACTTTCATTTTTTAGGCACATCTGTGTTTTCCAGATGTTTTATCGTTGAACATGTATTGTAAGGAAAAGCCCCTAAATTATTATTTTATAAACCAGAGGAGAAGATGAGGAAGAAGCAGGGGGCTGAAGCGGTAGTGGGGTGACAGGAGGGGATGTCTGAGAAGTCTGGGGAGAATCGTCGGAGCTCTCCTGGCCACACAGGAAGAGGGTGTGCTACGCAGGTGGCTGAGGCAGCTGCCCCAGGGGCCAGGGTTAGTGACCCACAAAGAGCAAGAGTCCTGGGGCATCCCTTGGAGGCCACAGGGGGTCGAAGCTTGGGTAACTGAAAGAAAGGGTAGAAGGAAGGAGCCGAGGCAGAGGGAAGAAAGCTGGTTTTGAGGGGACGGTCTGGCTTTGGACAAAGAACTCACACACATTGTAAACAATAATTTAAAAAATAACTTTTGTATGTGGGTACTTTGTCATTTACCAAGTACTTTCTCACCTATTATGCTGATGCTTACAGATGAGGAAACGGAGGCTCAGAGAAGTTAAAGGACTTGCTCAAGGTTGCACAGCTGGGATGCAGTGGAGCCAGGACCCAAATCCACTGGTTCTAGCACTCACTACGCCGTGCAGCTGTCCTGCGTGGGCTAGGGCAGTGAAGCTGTGTAAAAGCTTAAGGCCAAGGAGGATGTTAGAAACACTTCACCAACTAGAACAGAGGCTGGTCTCATCTGGAGACCTAGAGGCAGAGACCCAAAGGCCTCCTGCAGGACTTGATGAAAATCATTAGATGCTGGACCTTGGAAAAACCCTGAGGGTCAGCGAGGAGTCGCTGGGGTGGCCAAAGTGGCTGGTGGGCACTCGGGGACACAGGGCAGCAGCTGCTCACCTAAAAATACAGGAGCATTTCAATACCTCAGCAACCCATCCACCCACTCTGGTGGCGCCGGATGAATGTCGCCCCTACCTCCGTGTCCTAAGGATGCCATCAGTGACAGGAGACTCTAGAAGTTGTCCAGTGTGCTACTAATTTCATCTTGGGAGCTTTTCAGTCAAACCACACTCCCACAATAAGGGACTTGATGTTCCCCTGGTGTAAGTGTCTGTGGACACGTCCAAATTGGTGAGGTCAAACCTTGGTTCCCCGTGTTTATGCAAAGATCAGTGGGCAGTGCGGATCTAAAGCAGCAACCCCCTAGTGGTGTTACTTGGCTTTGCAATGAGCGTGTCTGGTCCTGTTAGAGAAATGTACTGAATTCTGAGAATTTACAGCAAACAGAAGCAGCGATGTAATGACTCCTCTGTGGAGGAGGAGCCAGGAGCATGTCCACCTCTCCACTCTGCCTGCTCCCTGCTCAGGCTGGGGTGGATGCCTCATCGGGTTCCTGTTCTCTTGATTCCCAACAGCCTGCCTTTCCCTGGAGCAGGACCCTGCCTCCATACACCCCACAATGTGGCTTGATCGCCCTGGTTCCCTTTAGATGTTGACTACAGAACCCATGAAGGGAAGAAGAAAAGATTATGCCGCTGACAGTAAAGGTCTCTGTAAGCCACAGTGTGGAGTGTGGTTTGGCTAAAAAGCTATCACACCTGAACTCAGAACAGCCCAGTATTGCATCTGGTGTAATTCTTCACCAAATGAAGGACACCCAGCTGTGGCTGGGGCACCTGTGCATGGCTGAGACTCTCTGCTGCCCTCCAATGACCTCAGGACCTCTCTGAGTTTTGGATTTAATGTCTCATGCTAGTCGGATGGGACACTCAGCTCCCAGCCAAGACCTGTAAGCTGTGACTTTCTGTTCTGCTTTTCAGCACAGGAGGCCTGGGAAAAAGGATGGAAGACACCAATCTTCTCCCCAGGAGATGCTGCCTCTTACCAATGGCTTGGAGCGGGTGGAGCTCCCAAGATCCACCTTTGAAATGGGTCTCCATCGGCTGAAGATGGTGATGCGCGGTGATTCTCGTGCTGGCAGTGGAGGTGCCGTCTCCCTGCAGAAAACTTCCTGTCCTGGAGACGATGAAGAAAGTTGGGAGCTCTAAAGGAAATAAAGGTAATCATTCGCTTTTTCTTTTTAGAAAATGCCTTGTTAAACTTCTCCCCTACTCCAGTGTATTTCTCTAAAAATTATCCCCCCCCCCTTTTTTCTAGTGGAGGTACTGGGGATTGAACCTAGGACCTTGTGCATGCTAAGCATGCGCTCTACCACTGAGCTATACCCACCCCCTGAAATTATTATTTTCTGATGACAAAGCAACATCTGTTCCCTGCAAAACACAATCAGATGTTACATGTTTAATAAAGATGTACAAAAAGAAAATCCTTCATAATCCTGTTTCCCAAAGATAATGTAAAGTTTTTAAATTTTATTAAAAAATTTTCCTCAGCTTTATTGACGTATAGTTGAGAATTTAAAATTATCTATATTTAAGGTGCACAGCTTAATGATTGTAAATTAAATGTTGATTCAAGTTTTGATAAAATAGCTATTTTAAAAACTAAATAACTTTGATTATGTTAAAGTAAATGTAATTTGGATCTATTGATATGACCATATTTCCTGACAATTTCCCTAAATGTCCTGGTTTCAAATAGTCTGTCTAGCTGTTCTCAAAAACTGTCAGAACATCCCAGAAATTGTAGTTTTTCTGAATCCAACCTACCTCTCCCCAGTAGCTTCTGAAACTTGATCGTGGAGCTGTCTGATTCTTTTAATCATGTAAAAGCTCTAAGTAGAGCACGGACAATTACTTTGGCGGATTCCTTAACATCGTCAACGTTCACATTTCCCCGATTGTAAAAAACTGCACAACTGGTTGTTAGAGTCATGATCCAAATAAAGTTTACAGGCAGCATTTGGCTGGTAAGTCTCTTTAGGTACACTTCCCACTTAAATTTTTTTTAAATTGTAATTTGTTGTACTTCATCACTTTGTCTTAGAACGAAATGATGCTTTGCAAATGCTTGAGCGCCTGTTCTGTGCTAGACACTTTGTGCTGAAAATAAAGGCGTGAGCAGATTTGGGGCAAATCACTGACTCTGCCTGGGCCTCGGTCCCCCCTTCTCTAACAAGAGAGAATTAGACTAGATGCTTTCTAAAGGTTCCACTGATCCACTCAGATCTCCCCTCTTATCACTGTTCAACGTGTGCGTCTACTGAAACCACAGCCAAACCTATTCCCAGGGCATCCTCGCCGTGACATACCCCAGAGGGCCGGTAGGGCCTGGGCCAACACACCCCTTTTCCGGGCGGCTGACCACCTGCCTGGGAGCTCCGAGGCCGGGGTAAAGCGGGAGGAGCTCGCCCGGATGCCGCAAAATTGCTCTGATGGCGGCGGCTGCCGGTAACGGCCGCAGCTCGGAACTCGGGCACGGGCCGGTCCCGCCCAACTACACTTCCTAGAGTCCTCCGCGGCCAACGGTTACCACGGAGGCGGGCTGGGCTCGTCGGGTGACCGTACGCAGAGCAGCCTTCAACCCAACGGCTTCCAAACGGGCCGGTCCCACTCCCCGCCCACCCACGCACCCCTTCGTTCTGGGGCCCGAGGAGGCAGAGCCTTTCGCCGGGCGGGGGCTCCGGGAGGCCGAACTACATTTCCCAGGAGTCTCCGGGCACACTCCGCTTTTGGTGGCGCGGCACCAAAAAGGTAACGTCGAGTTGTTGCCCAGGAGACCAGTCCAGAGGTAATTCTGGGCCCCTGAAGCCGGTGAACAGAGGAGCTGGAGACAGAGAAGAGAGATAAAACAGAAAAGAAGGATGGGAAATTTGGTTATAAAACAACATAAAGTGTACATTCCCCTCTGTTTACCTCTTTTGTTTCTACGGACGCCCCGCGCCAGCATCGCACAGCCCTCTGGGAGGTGCGGGCGGTGCTGCCCTAAGGGTTATGGGAAATGTAGTCGTTGATTAACTGCTACACCTCGAGCACCTGCAAATCCTCCCAGCCTCTCCCTTCTTGTCCACTCGAGCACGATGTTTGCAGCCCCAGTACTTACGGACTCTTGCCCTTTCTCTTCGTGCCAATCTTCGGTGCTGTATTTCAGACATTCTCTTGTGTGTTCTCCACGCGGCCACTGAAGTAATTGTCCCTGCTCTGCTTAGGCCTCTTATACGGCTAACAGAATCAAGTCCACGCTAACTGGCTGGCGTGTGTATCTGACCTCTCACCTACTGTCTCCCACTAGTCTCATATGTAACGATTTTCTTTAGATTATTCTTCATCTCATTTACGATTGATATCTTAAAGCCATTGTCGCTATTTTTTAAAAATGCAGACACAACTTATTGCTTTTTAACAGTTGCATCCCAAAAAGGGTGAGAAATTGAGTGTAGTTGGATTTGCAAAATACTCTCGAAAAGTATTTGAAATGGGTTTCTATCAGTAGAAACCAAGTTCCTCATACGCTGGTAAAATTAGAATTTTATTCTTCTGAACAAAATACTTCATTATGTGGTATGGTTAACTCACACCCAGATACTTTCCGGGCCTTGTAAAATCACACGAAAGATGAAAAAAGATAGAAAAGTTGGTTCTTGCATAAAGTACTTATCACAAAACTCTGTTAGGACTATAAATATAAAATGGATGAGTTATTTCTTTTTTACACAACACTCTGAAAGTCTAAGATCTATAATTATGTCTCATCCAAAGAGCTGTAAGCATGGAGTAAATCTACACTGAGGCTTTAGAGAAAGGAGGCATATTTTAAAAGACAGATGAGGTGTTGCTCTCATCAAAGCACCAAGAACTTTCCTTTTGAAGTGGGAATACTTGGCAGACACAACATTTCCATTAGCTTTTAACTTCGGTGGGAAGAATGGCCCTTATCTTAAACTTGAAATCCTTCATTTCTTGCCTACAGAAAGGGTACATTTATTGAGAAAGCATCAGCCAAGGCCAGAGTATTCATGTCGTTCTCAACAATCAGGTGGGAAGGCTGGAGGCAAGATACAGAGGAGCCATAGTTTAGAATAACTTTCTTCAGTGGTAGAAATGCAGCTACCTTTTCCATGGATATCAGGAGTACTGGTCTTTTGTTAATTCTTTCATGTTCTCAGTTACCAGCAAAGCTCTACTTGATGTTATACGAATTTAGCCTATGCTTTGGATGTAAGGGTCTTCTGTTGTTCCAGAAAACATATAGTGATCTCCAGGAGCCTCCCTAAACCATGTTGAGATATGGACATGCAAGTTACAATATAAGTGAATAAGTTGTTTTCTTTGCAACAGATAGAGCTTCAGAATACTACTTGGTCATTTGGTTTCAAGAAATATGATGCTGTATCTATCTGCAACATACTTGCTGACCACTTTCTGGGTGGTTTAGCTTCAAAAATGTTTATTTGCCCTGCTCTTGTTGCTGTGGTTGTTACTGCTTTACTAGGTTCGGTATCAAAGGGTGACACTCTTAGCCAGGTCCACTTGTGGACCCATCTGCATGGTTACAAGACAGTGGAAAGAGTGGGGGCGTGGGTTCCAGTTCTGTCCCTGTCCCTAACTTGTTGCATCACCTTGAACTAGTCATTTTTCATCTTCCTGCTCCCATGTAAACCTGTTCCTCTTCCGTGAATGTCTCAGTGAACAGCATCTGTGGTAGGCTGAATATTGGCTCCCAAAGATAACAGGTCCTTCTCCCTGTAACCTGTAAATGCTACTTTACTTGGAAAAAGCATCTTTGCAGATGTGACTAAGTTAAGGATCTTTTTTATTTTTTGTCTCCACAATTCATAACTCTCTTCCTTTCTTTAAAAAATATTTTTATTGAAGTATAGTTGATTTACAATATTGTGTTAGTTTCAGGTGTATAGCAAAGTGATTCAGTTATACATGTATATATATTCTTTTTCAGATTCTTTTCTATTATAGGTTATTGCAGGATGTTGAATATAATTCCCTGTGCTATACTGTAGGTCCTTGTTGCTTATTTGTTTTATATTTTATTATAAATAATTTTGGGGTTAATTTTTTATGGTTTATATATAGTAGTGGACATCTCTTAATCCCCAACTCCTAATTTATCCATCCCCTCCTTTCCCCTTTGGTAACCATAAGTTTGTTTTCAATGTATATGAGTCTATTTCTGTTTTGTAAATAAGTTCATTTATAGCATTTTTTTTTAGATTACACATATAAATGATACCATGACATTGTCTTTGTCTGACTTCACTTAGGATGATAATTTCTAGGTCCATCCATGTTGCTGCAAATGGCATTATTTCATTCTTTTTTGAGTAATATTCCATCTTAAGTATTCCCTACTTTTCTCCCACTCTCAGTTGAAAAGCCCCTGTATCAACTTTTGATCTATTTTATGTATTTTCAGGTTGGCTATATAAAAGATGAAAGTTATGAATGGACAATAATTCCTAAGATTATTAAAACAAACTCACTTGTATAATAAGCTGTAAACTCACCTTATTTGGTTATTCTGAGCATTAAATCTTTTGACCATTTTTACAAATTAGGACTTATGACAATATAACGTGTTTTTCCATGTATTACATAAAGTAATATTTAAGAATTAAATTCCCCTAAGATAGTAAGAAAGCTTTTTAGAAGATGTATATGTATTCCACCTTCTGATGTGATGTGGTATCCAGATACCAACGACATCTCAATGAAAATAAAATCTTGGAGAGGATAAATGCTAATATTTTTCAAAAATAATTAGGTGAGTTGTAAAGATTAAGGAATGAAAACCATATTCAAACCAATACATGTGATTAAACCACTGTTGTATCACTGGGCTGTGACAGTTACAAGTCCACAATTTTTATAACGTGACATATTTGAAGGGGAAAAGAAAAAAGCCACCTCAGTTTTCCAGCTCTTTGGAGGGGTCTATGCAAAGGAATCAGGATTCAACAACAAGATTTTCTCAGTTGAGCAAAGGGCAGAGAACAGATGGTACAAGTCAATTCCCTGGCTGACCGGTACCTTTGGGCAAATAAGGAAGATGTCTTCTCCAGCCGCAGGGACAAGAGAACAGTAGCAGCCGGTGGGTTTCAGGTCTGCAGTGGGAGAGAAGCTGACATCACTTGGGATGTGGAAGCATCCAGATGAAGGCCGGTTAGGTGATGATTGACATCTCCTCCCGGTCTCTGCTCTCAGACACTGAGTTGATTATGCTTCTTAAGTACTTGATGAATTCCACCCTGATCTCTTCGGGGTCATCCTCAAGATTCGAGTGCACCAGCTTCAGTTTGTTCAAGGGTGGCACTTAAAAAGGAAAATGAGGTAATTAGGCGTGAACTGTTCATGAGGGGCGATTTCTAACTCCAGGTGACCTGAGTCTTACAGGAGCCAATTCGTTTAACTTTCCCAAATCCAAAAATAAAGTTGTGTCTTGCTTGATATAATTTAACAGAGAAAGGTTTCACCACACTGCCACCTGGCAAGAGGATCTACAAGCGCTACAAGCCCAAGCATTTAAGACAAAAGCAGAAAGGAGAACTCCAGGCTCCTTACCCAAAGCCGGGTTTCCTTTATCACTTCCAGAGCCTGGTTTGTGGTGTGCAATTAACAGACACTGAGTATCCTGTAAAAACTGCTGCTGGACAAAGCAGGAATACCACATCTCAATTTCCTTCAGGTGGCTTGGGATGTCAGCATTGAAGACAATGACCACCCCGTGAGAGTCCTTCATCAGGGCTGGCCAGCAAGACTCGAACCTGCAAGGCAGAAAAGGATGCAGAGTGAAGAGTACGTGGTTCTGGTTTCTAACTGTGGACTTGAAAAATAATATCTTAGTATTAATCATTGATGAAATATCTCTCACTGTATCATAACCCAATCACTAAAGTTTCAAGAGCAATGCATGTCACCAGTAATTGATCAAGCCCCTAACACATGCTAGGAGGGACACAGGGCCCAAGTCCAAGATGCCTGGCGGGCAGCTGATTTTTGACTCATTTGATGGAACAAACGCTCTTTAAAGGAAACGTACTTTGGATCGCCACCACAATCCCAGAGCTCAAATTCACACCCCGTGCCTTTGTTGTTGCTGGTAACGTGTGGGTTCTCAAATTCCAGGATCCTAAAGATAAAAACAAGAGCAGCACCTCTACTTAGGAAACATTATACTCTGGGAACACCACCAGCACCAAAAGCAGGGGTGGGCAATGGCCGGGGACTCTGTGGGACACAGATTTTTCGGGGCTCACCTCACTCCTTGGGTTGGGTTGTATTCAGTGATGTCGGAAGATTCTGTCAGGAAGTTGGCCAAAACGGTTTTTCCACTCTGTGAAAATGAAGATAATAAAAGATCTTCGCTGAAGAGCAGGAAAATAAGCCATAAGTGAGCCCTCCAGTAGCCAGCCTGGGATCAAGTGTGATAGACTGGAGGCCGTGGCCACCCCGAGAGCAGCAGGACTGTCTCGGGTTGGGCGGGCACAGCCTCCTCTGGGGCTCACGGAACACAGGTTTCACTGCTGGCTGTCCTGGTGGGTGGCTTTACCCACACTGATGTCCTCTCTGGCTTTCAGTTAACGTCTCTGAGAACCACAGAAAATATCGTGTTTTCTCTCTTCTTGCTCACTCCTCTCTAGATCTTTAAGAAAACACAGCTTGTCACAGATAGGAAGCCACTGAAGCCCACAAAAGGGAAAGGAATTCCTCAAGGTCACAGAAACTCAAAGTCAGAGCTGGGTCCCAGGCCTGGGGACTCCTGGCTCGTTGTGCCAAACTCTCACCTAGGGCTGTTTCCTCTTCTGGATAACCCAAGTAATACACATCCCTATTTAAAACGCACAAAACAGCCCTCCTGGTCCCTCTGCCCAAAGCGTCCATCTTTCCATCCATCCTGTTCTCTCCCTCAAGGAAACAATTATGATCTGTTTTTCAGACCTTGTCTATATATTTGCGTAGTTCATGGAACAAATAGTGTATATGCTTGAATATAAAACAAGGTTTTTCCTCCCCCCAAATTATTCCTCAGAAGAAAGGGAGTCTCTTACATTTGAGTCCTTTTAAAAAAATCTCTGAAATTATGCCCTGCTCTCTGTTACCTTACTTTGAGCCAGAACTGCTTGACCAGAACAAACTCAGTCAATGCCAGTTTGGGAGGTTTATGGTCACTTGACAGAATCAGAAAAAAAAGTTGGGTGGTGGGGGAAAGAGGAGAGGGCCTTAACACTGCTTTAGCAATTTTTCTTGAGGAAGTGGCCTCACTTAAAAATAACAGTTAAGTGTTGTGGAGATCATGAATATTTATCTATAAAATGAATGAATAAAACAAATGACCTGATGTTATAGAAGAGTTATTGGGGCTGGAATACATTTCCAGGAACAGAATCATACACAGATTCAAAAAATGCTGTATCCTAAAGTACTTAGATGATGTGCTTTGTCACGGGATTCAAAAAGCGGCTTTAGTCGTAGAGATGGTTTGGGTATCAAAGGGGCTTGAATAAAACCGGTCATGAAATGCAAGAATGGAATAAAACAGCATTTCCAAATTAATACTATCTTAATGTAACTTTAAATGTGTATATGGCTACATCAATACATGAAACATTATATAAGTGTACTTATGTATTTCATCTATGCCCATAAAGTTTATATATAGAAGTTGGCTAAAAACAATTTGTTGAAGGCGGAGGATACTTATGGGAAAATGAAGAAACTGTCTGTTAGACCCATAGGGTATTTTTGTGTCTACCTTGTGGCAGGTGCTGCTGAATAAATAAGAAGGTGACTTAGTGATAAGTACTAGGATAAAAATAAAGCAATAGAGACTGAATTGCGTGGTCAGGGAAGGCTGCACAGAGAAAGTGTAAACTGAGATTTGAATGACAATGAATCAACCAAGACATCCAAGCAGAGGGAACAGCTAGTTCAAAGGCACCAGGGCAGGAATGGATACAGCATATTAAAGGAATAGAAAAATTGGTAAATTTGAAAAGGAGCGAGGGAGAGGAAGGTATTTATATCCAGAAACGTCTTCTTGTTGAAGTTAGGTGATGAATACTAGGAGTTCATTGTTCTTTCTCCCCTTGTGTATGTTTGAGAATTTCCATGAAGGACATCTATGCTTGTTTTGCTTTTCATAATTCTAAGCATATTTTGTTACCTGCCTATTTCATTTAATAGTTTGTCTTGGAGAGTTCTCTGTGTCAGTATACATGGACTTGCCTTATTTTGTTTCAATGTTGTGCAGTCTTCCAAAGTAAGAATGTACCTTAATTTATTTAGACATTCTCTCATCGATGGGCACCTAGGGTGTTTCCACCTTTTCAATATTGTAAACTGCTCATGGGGAACGTGGACTAGTCTTTACAGTAGATTCTGAGAAATATAATTGCCATACTAAAAGCTATGCACATTTCAAATTTTAATAATTTGATCTCCAAAAAAAGCCGTTGTCAATTTATAGCCCATCAACAGAATCCTAAAGTACTCCTTCCCCTACAAGCATCCTAACGCTGCATGTTATCAGTCTTTTAAACTTTTCTCATCCAATCTGATAGGCGAATTGTCATCTTCTTGTTTTTATTTGTGTTCCTGTGGCTGTGAGGCTGAGCATTTTATCATACTTATTGGTCAGCTGTATTTCTTGTGCACAGTCTTTGCTAGATTTTTACTGAATTGCCTTTCTTTTTTCTTTTTACTAATTCTTAAATTTTCCTGTATATTCTACCTATTAATCCTTTTTTTGTTTGGTTGTGCATTTTGCTAATATTTTCCCCAACCTTTAACTTTGCTGTTATTTAAGGTTTCTTCATTTTTGTGTTGTGTTTAAGAAGACTTTCCCTGTCTCAAGATTAAAAACATCTTTCCATATATACAGCTTCTCAGCGAGTGGTCCCTGCACGAACAGCATCAGCAAAAAGCAAATTCTCAGGTTCCCTCCCACACCTACTGAATCAGTACTCTGGGCCAGGACCGGCAAGCCGCGTTTTTATCAAGCCCACCAGGCAATTCTGATGAGTGCGGAAGGTGGAGAGTTATTCGTTTACTACTTCCACAGTTGTTGTTGTACACATTTAACTTTTTAGTTCATCTACATTTTATTCTTGTATACGGTGTGAAGTACAGGTGGATTTAATCCCCACCACGACCACCACGCACACATTAAAAGCGAACTGTTCCAAGACCAGGTAATAGTTCAGTTTTTCCTCCTGGTTTTCTTGTTCCACAGACATATTTCACTAGAGACAATCACGGGCGTAAAGGAGAGTCGTGAGATCTAGGCTCTAATTCCATAAAGCCACTCACTACCTTGGGGCTTCCG